CGCAACTACCGTGGGAGTCGGGGATCCGCTCTCTGTTTAGATATCAGACTTACAGTGCTTTGCATAAAAGTCCGGAAAACGCGATTCGCAAAATCTTGTTTGTAGCAGCCAAACAATACCATATATAGCAATCGATCACCGCAGCTAGGCCGGCGATGTGACTCTCGTCACTGCCCATGCCTCTCCCGTACACTACGCCGGAGCTGCGCTCTCAGATTGTAGCATGGCGGTATGAACAGGGCCTTTCTGTTCATGATATCCACAAACTATGCGGTTACTCTCTCAGTACGATCTATGAAATCCTCAGCATCTACCGGACATATGGGCAGGTTGTTGACCCAAGCAATCGACCCCGAGGACGACCTCGTAAACTCGACATGAGCGACCTGGATTTCATCCATGGCTTACTGAGGGACAACCCGGCCCTGTACCTCGATGAAATACAGGAGATCCTCAGTGAACACAAAGGTCTGAATGTCTCGATTGCTACTATCTCGCGCGCTCTAACACCAAATTGCCCTCACTCGGAAAAAGATCTCGAAGACCGCTCTCGAACGGAATGAGCTCTTGCGCGCAACTTGGCAAGCACAGTGGGGGGATCTACCCATGGAGTCGATCGTATGGTTGGACGAGTCGAGTGTGGATGACCTGACGAACCAGCGGAATATGGGATGGGCAGCATTGGGTCGTGCGTGCGTGCGCCGCGAAACATTCTTGCGGGGTCAACGATATTCGGTACTGCCGGCACTGTCTGCGGAGGGCATCCTAGCACTTGATATCTTCGAAGGTTCTGTTACGAAGGAAAGGTTCAAGCAGTTCCTACGGAATGAACTGGTATGTCCCGTTGTAAGGATCGATACTCTGTACTTACAGGTGTGTAATGGTTATAGGCCCCCAAACTCAATCCGTACCCTGGCACTCGGAGCGTAGTTATCATGGACAATTGCTCTATTCACCACGACGAGGATATCCGGAGCATCATAGAGGATGATTGTGGTGAGTGCGCCGAATTATGTACGCGTGACATTGGCTCGAACTTACGTGCCTTTGCAGGTGCCAAGCTTGTATATCTTCCTCCCTACTCTCCTGACATGAATCCAATTGAGCAGGCTTTTAGTTCAATAAAGGCTTGGTTGCGGAGGCATGAGGCTGAGGCTGTAAATCCGCAGGTTAGACCTTGGCTGATCCATCAAGCCACTCTTGCAGTATCGGAAGAGGATGCCATAGGTTGGATTATCAACTGTGGTTATTCATAACAAGTACAGAGTTAATATATACTATTGAATGAGAGAATTATCAGCTTGTAAAAGGAGTGTGAAGCATTATATCTGATGCAAAATAGGATAATGAAAGTTTGGACTCGACAGCGGAACAATACCGAAACTTGAAACCAGTTCAGGCATGCTCAGCTTGCACATGGCTGCGCTTCTTGAGAAGCCTTGCTTGCCACTCAGTGGCGAACTCCCGCAGCTTCCATACATCACCCTCCACGGCACCGGTGATAGTACACAGCCGTTCAGCTGGGATCTTCCCAAGTATATCAGGGGTGAGCCTCTTCTCCGCCAGACTCTCCTCGTAGACTAGGAAATCAACACCCTGCTTGTTGAGGAAGTCAAGTAAGCAGCTGTGGAGATCGGTATGATGTTCGGGGAGAGGAGACAGGGGAGGGGAGGCAATGCGGCGATGCTTCGGCGTCGAAGGCATGGCTTGGGAAGACAAGCCTGCACCAGGAGTTTGCATATTAGCCATATTCTGAAGCAGTGGTACAAAAGCGGCCATCAGCAACACGTTTGGATCAACAGCAGAGCTTGCAGTAGGCTGAGAAGATGAAGACAGAGGGCGAGGACCGGACCGCCCACGAGATTTCATAACCGACAGTTGTCCATCGCGCACACCATCGAACTCAGCTGTGTTCGGAGGTACAGACTTTGTGCTCTCGTGTGCTGCCTGGATGATGATATCTTGCTATGAGATACGGACACAATATACAATAAGCTAACTCACTATAGCAGCCGCCCACATTTTGAAACGCCGATTGTTCAGGCGCACATGCCCATTTTCAGTCTTGTAGCAATACCCGGTGTCGCCGTTCTCGCCGAGATGCTCAGTACATTTGTGTAGGGCCTTCAGCTCCATTATAATGCCTCCATGGAGCTGCATCTCGTCGGAGTACATGTCTAGGCGGGGAACCTAAAGGATAATCAATTGACTGATCGTGTCAGAACCATGCCAGACGTACCATAGTTCCGTCAAGTAGCTCATTATCCTCGTCGATAGCCATAGCGGCAGCGAGAGGCTGTGCTGGATCATCAGAAGGGATTGCTACTGAAGGTTGCACTACTCACGCGCTTGCGAATCCGGAAGCCATCCATATTGTCGGCGTTGAGCTCCGCTGTTATGCTGCTAGGCCTCTTCCTGAGAATAGCGCCGATTGCGATGGCGAAGTCGTCGTCCGTGTCAATGGTTGCAGCTGCAGTTTTACTGACAGGCACCCTTAGTAGCGCATATCAAACTGGTGAAGTCACTTACTTTACACCTGTCCACCAGATCTTGAAGCCGGGCCCAGCGTGTGGACCTGCAGCATATTGATCTGCGAGATCATGCGCTTTCAGCATGGCAGCAACGAAGTCGGCACGACCCAGATCCTCAGAGAAGGATATCAGAGCATTCTTCGTGACCTGGGTCTTCTTTGAGACCACCCGACTGCCTCGAGTTGACGGACCCTTCTCTTTGACTGTGTACACGAGGGTCACTGCTACGACGTTGCCGCCGAGTGCTGCACGAAACGTCAGATGAGCATGGCAATAGATACTGTGAACAGACCTCTACCCATCGCACCGTTCGTGGCGTTATTGGCAGACGCAGGCGCGTTTGCCAGCACCCCGGGACCGTCAGTGCCAGCAGGAGCACTGCCAGGTGCAGTGGGCGCGTTTTCGCGAATCTCTTGGACATCACTCGGGGGACCGCGAGGTTCTTCGGGCACGCCTGCCTCAGCTCTGGCAGCAGAGCCTTGCGACGCTTGGCCTCTATATGGAAGCGGAGGCTCGTACGGAGGCGGAGGTTGCGCCTGATCTTCAGCGGCGACACGAGGGCCTTGGCGTGCAGGCGACGGCGCAAGTACCCGACGCTGCGCCGGAACGTACACAGTTTGGACATTCGCTAGAGGCGCCCCCGACCTTTCAATAGCAGTGAATGCCGCCTGACGAGTATGCTCAATCTCCTCGTTACTGTAGTAATACTGAGGAGGGTTGACCGCTCCGTCTAGCACGATGAGTCAGTGGGACCTTTGACCTCAGAAACTGATGCTCACCGATCCAACCGCCACGTTCAAGCCAATAACGCGACACGGGACGCATCTGGCCGCCTTCCGCTGCATTCTCGTTGTGGAATTGAGCAGACCGTCGAGGCTGTCGAGACATAGGGAAACAAAGGAGAGTGAATGAAGATGAACTTGGATGGGGATGAGAAACGTACTGCAGTATCGACCAGCTTTTATCCTCTGGACATCCCAGTAGTCCTGACAGCCGCTTGTGAGGCTCGTCGTAGGGTGCAACACGAAATGAATGGAGTTGGGGCCTTAGCCACCTCCGTCGGTGCGTCTTGGGGCTCAGATGGACTATCGACCCTGAGCTGAACCGGTGCGAGGTGGAGTGAGCGAGATTTATGTAGCAAATGGGGAAAGCCTATTGGCCACCACACAATATTGCAGTTGTCGGGATACGGTCATTGCGATGGACGACGAGGGACTTGGGATACTGGAAGACGACGAGGAGCGTGACACGGGTAACACAGCGGCCCGATGGACGGTGATCAATTACTACATATGGTATTGTTTGGCTGCTACAAACAAGATTTTGCGAATCGCGTTTTCCGGACTTTTATGCAAAGCACTGTACTCGTCTTCACATTATTGTTTCGACTTACAGCCTCGAACGTTCGACCCGTGGTCAGGGTCGAATCCGGTCCAACCTGCCGGGATGCCGGATATTCCCGTCACGTGCGGTGCGCGTCGTATAGAAATGGCTCAGTACTGCCAGCACAGCTGACGCGTCGTGCACTGTCGGGTCTTCCTCGTCTATTGGGCTTCATATTAATTGGTAGCGCTATGGACGATATTGGTTCCCGAATTGCTGAGCGTGCTGCAGAGAGAGCGGCGCGTATCAAGGCGAAGGTCGAGCGAGCGGAGAAGTATAAAGAAGAAGTACTCATCATTATCGTGGTGGCAAGCCTCTAGGCTGACCGCGGGTCGTTTGTAGGGAAACGAATTGTTTAGGAAGAAAAATTATGAAGCTGCGCTGGAGTGCTATCAGAACGCTGGCCGGCTGCGCCCCCACGAGCCTGTATACGCGTGCAACGCCGCGGCTGCGTTCCTCAAGCTCGGAATGTCCGTGCAATACAGTCTCTGGCTTTCAATGGGTTTTGTGCACTGACACGTGCGTGCCCAAGGTACGAGATGGCGGAAGAGGCGGCGACGTCCGCGCTCAAGTTCGATCCGGGCTGGACAAAGGCGAGGTACAGGCGCGGGCTCGCGAGGAAGGGGATGGAGGATTACGCCGCCGCTATGATGGGTGCGTCCTTGCGTAGTATTGTATTGGATACTATTTGATTTGAGTCACTCACTGTTTGCTCCCGTAGATTTCCACGTAGTGCTGAAGCTCGATCCGTCGTGCGCAGATGCTCAGAAGGAACACGATATTGTGGCCGACTTGTGCATGGGAGATTGGGACCATGATGCGGATTATATATATCCCCCGCCTGACGAGCACCTGTGGCAGAACTGGGAAGAAGGCTCGGACTCGAGCGACTTCAACCACGAGGGAAGTAATATTCCCTGCAGGTGGTACAATCGCGACGGGTGCAAGAAGGGGAGGGAGTGTCCATACTCGCACGCGCCTGACGCGAAAAGCGTGAGGGATAAGCTGTTAGTCCCTCCTCAGGCGCGGACGTCGTTTTGTGAATATTTACTAGATGTTTACAGCGGTCGCAACGTCTGCGTGTTCCACGTCATGAACAAGTGCAAGTTCGGAGAGACGCGATGCGTGTACTCGCATGATCTGCGGTACCTCCCCGACTCGTGGGCGGCGTTCATCAAGGATAAAGGTCGGGTAAGGGATTTCTGGGAGCTGTACTTGGAGTATCAGAGGGTTCCAGACGGGACGTTCGCGCCGTGGGCCGAGCCGAAGCGCGAACAGTGGCTCCCGGAGTACTGCAGGCGGTCGGTCGAGGAGATCCCGGACGATATTAGTGCGCTCTGGAGGACCAAGCAAAAGGGTCAAAGGAGGAAAGGTGCGAAGGACAAAGGGAAGAGGCAAGGTAAAGGCAAAGGTAAAGGGAGAGGCAAAGATACAGGAGGTTGGGAGGAATTCCTGAGGAAGGCTTATTGGGACCACGAGCTGGAGCGGGAGGCTGCAGAGAGAGCCGACAATTACGGATTCACACGGGCAGAGGTCGACGACCTCTTATGCCAAGGGGTTAAGCCGTGGGACGAAGACGCATGGGTGAGTCTCAATGTTTTGCGATGTGGTATTTCTCGAGTGCTGATGTCCAACGCGCTGCAGGACGTGATGCAGGTCTTGAATGGGGACTTCTTCTAGTCCAGCACATTTATTGACGCACATTGTTACTGTTGAGCCGGTCACCGGGGCGCTGTATTTTCAGAGATTTCTTGGTTTACTACTTGTTGCTTGCTCATGTTTCGGATTCGCTCCCTGGAATGAAGTCGTCCGCCTCCTACACTCAACGCTATGCCGAAGGCAAAAGATCCGAGCTACGGCTGTGATCGAGATAGGGGACGACGTTCGCTTAGATTACCGGGTGGCAGTGTAGTCATACGAAGTGAGTGTCCTCCGTCATCATTCCGACATTCCAGCATCCTCCTTAATTAAACGGCCTGATACTTCCAGGAGCCGGCCATGTTCTGCATCTTAACGACACCGTCGTCTTGAGTGATGCGGGTTTCATCTGTACTCTTAGCCCACGGCGCCGACTACAACTGCAAGGACCGCAGGGCCCGGGGTCATCCGCGGAGTCACGTTATCGTCCGTATCTTGACGGTCGATCCATTATATATAGTTACTAACCCTTTATGCGCTCGATTTCATCGCTCACATGCTTATCTAGTATCTAACGAGATGGAATCTTCGCGCCTATCTCTGCCCGCCCCGCCTGACGGTATAACTTGCCTCGCGTCGGCGTCGAGGGGCAACCAAACGCCCCACCATGGCCCCCAACTTCGACTACTCCAAGCACAAGCTGCTCGTGGCCAACCGCGGGGAGATAGCCGTACGCGTCTTGCGCACCGCCGCGCGTCTTGGGCTCCGCACCGTCAGCATCTACACCCCGTCGGACGCGCTCGCCCCTCACGTCTCCCTCGCCTCCGAAGCCTACCCCATCGCGTCTCCCGAGCCCCCCCACGCCCCCCTCCCCGACGCCCAGGGTTACCTTTCGGCTGCCGCGATCGTCGCCATTGTCAAGGCGACCGGCGCGACGCTCGTGCATCCCGGGTACGGCTTCCTCTCCGAGAACACGGATTTTGCGAGGATGGTCAAGGAGGCGGGGGCGACGTTCCTCGGCCCGCAGGCGGAGGTCGTCGAGATGATGGGCCTGAAGCACGAGGCGCGCAGGAAGGCGCTGGAGGCGGGCGTACCCGTCGTGCCCGGGACCGAGGGGCTCGTGGGGAGCCTGGCGGAGGCGCTGGAGGTCGCGAAGGACAAGGTCGGATACCCCGTCATGCTCAAGAGCACGGCCGGCGGTGGGGGCATGGGCATCGTGGTGTGCGCGGACGAGAAGGAGCTGAGGGACAGATTCGAGGGTACAAGGGCACGAGCGCAGGTCAGGGCGCGCCGCTGCATTCTCTGTCGGCAGTGCGAGACTGACATGGGGACTTTGCAAGGCACTCTTCCACAACCCGGGACTGTTCATCGAGCGGTATTTCCCCGCAGCGAGACATATCGAGGTGCAGGTGCGGGTGGCCTGGGCCTGCGCATCCTGCCCTGAATGTTAACCACTGTGCAGGTCTTCGGCAACGGGCTCGGCGACGCCGTCCACTTTGGCGAGCGCGAGTGCAGCGTGCAGCGGCGGCACCAGAAAGTCATCGAGGAAACGCCCAGCCCTTTCGTAGCCGGGCACCCAGGCAAGTCTTTCTCCAGACTCCCCCGTGCAAGGTCAGGCTGACGAACACGCTCCAAGGCCTCCGAGAACGCATGTGCGCCGCCGCCGTGCGGCTCTGCAAAGCCATCAGATACAGCTCTGCCGGTACGCCCGCGTCCGTGTCCCCGCGTCCGCTCCACTCACTCGATGCACGACAGGCACGGTCGAGTTCCTCGTGGACGACGCGTCCGGCGCATTCTACTTCCTCGAGATGAACACGCGCCTGCAGGTGGAGCACCCCGTCACCGAGGCGACCCGCCCGGGGCTGGACATCGTCGCGCTCATGGTCCGCCAGGGCGTCGCGCAGCACGAGGGGGGTGGGGTTGCCCTGGAGGAAGAGGAGGAGAGGTGGCGGGATGCGCGCGGGCACGCCATCGAGGCGCGGGTTTATTGCGAGAACCCGAGCGCGGGGTTCATGCCGGCGCCGGGGGTGCTGCAGTACGTCGAGCTCCCCGAGGAGAGGGAGTGCGTGCGGGTCGATGGCTGGGTGAGTGATTCGGCGCTTGATGCTGGATAGCGACGGCGGGCTGATTCACGCGCGACAACAGATATCGACGGGGACGACCGTGACGCCCTTCTTCGACCCGCTCGTGTGCAAGATCATCGTCTCGGGGTCGACGCGGGAGGAGGCGGTGCAGCGGATGGTCGACGCGCTCGCCGCGACGAAGATCATGGGCCCGCCGAACAACGTCCGCTACCTCAAGGCGATATGCGAGAGCGAGACGTTTAACCTTGGCAAGGCGACGACGAAGTTCCTGGACAGCTTCGAGTTTGTGCCGCGGTGAGTGGGCGGGCGCGTCTGCGCAGCGAGGATACGCTGAACACGACGTGACATCGTAGGGCGGTGGACGTGCTCTCCCCCGGGCTCGACGCGACGATCCAGGACTACCCGGGGCGGCTCCTCGGCCTGGGCATCCCCCGCGGCGGGCCGATGGACACGCTCGCCTTGCGCGCGGCCAATATCCTCGTCGGAAACGCACCCGGGATGGAGGCACTGGAGCTTCTCCCGCTCACGCCCTGCCGGCTGCTGTTCCACGTGCCCGCAGTCATCGCGGTGACCGGCGCGGACGCGGAGGTCAGTGTCGATGGGAAGAAGGTAGGGACGTGGGAGAAGGTGGTGGTGGGTGCGGGTGGCAAGTTGGTCGTGAAAGGCGCGGGTAAGGGTGGGAGGGGGTGTAGAGCGTACGTTGCTGTGAGAGGGGGGTTTCCGGACGTGCCAAAGTATTTGGGGAGTAAGAGTACATCGACGGGGATGGGTGGGTACCAGGTACGTGCTAAAGTCCCTTCTCTTGAAAGTGTTCACGTAAGTTCCACTCCAAGGGGCGTGCACTCGCGGCAGGCGACCACCTCGCGCTGGGCAAATGCGAACCCGAAGACGACGAAGCGGCGATGAAACTACCGCCCTCGCTCATCCCCACATACTCCTCAAACTGGACCGTTCACTGCCTCTCCGGCCCGCATGACTCTGAAGAATTCGTCACCGCAACAGGCATCGAGGAGTTCTACGCCACGCCCTGGAAAGTGAGCGCCTCAAGCAACCGGATGGGCATCCGCCTCGAGGGTCCGAAGCTCCGCTGGGCGCGCGCGAGCGGCGGCGAGGGCGGGAGCCACCCGAGCAACGTGCACGACAACGGGTACGCGCTCGGCACGATCAACGTGAACGGGGACACGCCCGTCATCCTCACGAGCGACGGCCCGGATATGGGCGGGTACGTGTGCTTGTGCACGGTCGCGACGGGGGATATGTGGAAGCTTGGCCAGCTGCGCGCGGGGGACACCGTGCGGTTTAGGAGGGTGTCGTTTGGGGATGCGATGAGGTTGGTGGATAGGGGTGTGCAGTGGTTGGAAGCGGTCAAGGATGGTAGGCATGATTACACTGCAGAGGAGTTGGTCGCACCAGTTGCAGAGGAGGATCGCAAGGGTCCAATCCTCAAAGTTATCCCCGCTGAACCGGCAACGGGCAGGCCACGAGTAGTCTTCCGACAGGTGGGTTCTTTTTCGCGCTTCATCGCTCGGGCGTTGATCCAGCCCATACTCAGGCGGGAGATTCAGCCATCCTGGTAGAGTATGGCGAGCTCCTCCTGGACCTCACCCTCCGCGCCCGCATCCACGCATTCGAAACCGCCGCAAAGGCTCAGAACATCCCAGGGGTATGGGCGTTCGGGCCATGCATTCGCTCCACCATCGTAAGTTCCCTCCCTTCGCACAAGCCGACGCTTAACCCCGTGCAGGTGCGCTACGACCCCCTTACCACCCCGCAGTCCGCCCTCCTGTCCGCGCTCGTCGACGCCGAAAGCTCACTTCCGGACTCGATGGAATCCATGACGTTCCCAGGGCGCAAGATCACCTTCCCCGTGGTGCTCGACGACCGGTGGAGCAGGGAGGCGCTGGACCGGTACATGCGCTCCATCCGCGACAAGTCGGTGTACCTCCCCAGCAACATTGAGTACCTCGCGCGCAATAATGGGTTGAAGGGCGGTGCGGCGGAGGCGCTGGAGTTGCTGACGAGGGGACCTTATGTGCGTTATTGCAGTACCAACCTGACTGGATGAGATGGGCGCTGACGATGGTTGAAGCTTGTGTTCGGTGTAGGGTTCTACCTCGCGTGTCCGTTCCTGGTCCCAGTAAGTTCCCCCTGAACTCTGGAACAGCGGTGCCCTACCTCACCTCGCGCAGATCGACCCCCGCTGCCGCCTCGTCGGGCAGAAGATGAACCCCTCGCGGACTTACACGCCCCGCGTCAGTCTCCTTTCGCCCCTACTCTCTCGCTGCTCACTTACCTTCGCTCGCCTTATAACAGGGCGCGATCGGCATCGCGGGCCTCGTTGCGGCCATTTACCCGATCGAGTCTCCGGGCGGGTACCAGCTGTACGGGCGCACGCTGCCCGTGTGGCAGACGTGGGGCCGCGGGCGCGATTTTTCCGCGGCGCGGCCGTGGCTCCTCGAGCCATTCGACCAGGTCGTGCTCCAGCCTGTGAGCGAGGGGGAGTACGTCGAGGTAGGTCTGCGTGAGTCTGGGGAGGAGCGCTCATGCTGTATGGTGAATGCGTAGATGGAGAAGCAGTTCGATGCGGGGCGGTACGAATTCAAGGTCAGCTGTGCTTGTGCTAGTGGCGAGGACGAATTGGGAAGAGTCGAGCTTCATGCTTTTTTTGGTAGATCGAGCCGGTGACGTTCTCGATCGCGGAGTATACCGCGTTCGTCGCGTCCGTCGCGGACGAGATCAAGGAGTTCAAGGCGAGACAGGCGGAGGGCACCGCGAAGGAGGAGGCGCGGTACGTACCAGTCGTGTCCCACAAAGGAGATAGGAACCCTGCTCATTGTGTCTCTCAGCGAAGCCGAGCTCTTGAAAGAATGGGAAGCCGAGAAGCAGAAGGCCGCTTCTTCCAGCACAGCGACGGCCGAAGGTCAATCAACCACTTAGTCTAATATCATCACGACATCGAGACTGATCAAACCTCCACGCAGCCCCGCAAGACGCAGGCGAGACCGTCACCGCCTCGCTCGCCGCGACCGTCTGGAAGATCCACTGCACGCCCGGGGACACCATCAAAGCAGCGGAGGACGTCCTCCTCGTGCTCGAGGCAATGAAGACGGAGATCAACGTCGAGGCGGGGGAGGAGAGCGTCGGGAAGAAAGTGAAGGGTTTCGGGCGGGGGGTGAGGGAGGGCGGGGTGGTAAGTACGGGGGATGTGTTGGTCGTGCTGGAGTAGGCTAATGGGGGAAAGAGGAAAGTAAGAGGGTGGGATGTATCTGTATTTATAACGGTTAGCTTGCGGACATGGTGCAGACTCGGGAAGAAGAAGGAAGTGAAGTCGCTTCGTATTTGGGTGGCTCTTGGGGGAATGGACACCCCATACCTCCGTAACGAGTTCAATGAGACATAGGGCTTTGCCGGGGTGGAGCGTCAGCGCGCATCGCACAGCGGACGGGGCCAATTAGAGGCGTGCACGCCGACAGCGGCGAGGCAACGGATTGAACGGCGAAACGGCTCGTGTGGAGGTCGAGTCTAGTTTCGGACGCTGCGAGGGTCGAGGTGGTCACGGAGGATACCAGCCGTCCCGTGGAAACTCTACCCTCCCGCCAGCCCTGCTCGACGGGGTTGGCTGAGTGTTCGGCTGAGGAGAAGAACAAAGCGGGACGAGTGCGAAGTTGGTGTAATGCGGGTGTTGATGGCCAGTTGTGATATCGTACCATACACCGCTGGATCGAGGCCTGCCTCGACGAACAGACGCAGGGAAGATGAGGAGAGCGCTGCTCGGAAGTGCGAGTGTAATGAGTTACTACGGTAGTAGACCACTCACCGACGGCGGTGGGCAGGGACGCGTGGGAGGAAGGAGATGGCGCGGGGAGACCTCAGCAGTTGGACGTAGCCGGTGACGGACGCGACGACAAAGTGCAAGTACCCCGCATACCAGGCATCGCACCCTCCGAAGAGGGTATTCCGGCCAGACCCCGCGCCCTGCTCACCCCTCACGGCTGAGGCGGAGGGTGCTCTGCGGAGGGGTGCTACGGGCTGATATGCTAAGCAGAAGAACGACGTAAGGAGTTGGTATGATAGAAATGATCTCGAGCCGAATATATCGGGTTACCAAGGACTTCAGAAAATCGGGATGAAGCGAACGAAGCAATGAAGACATTTGATTCGCTGTTTACCATAACATACACCGCGGAACCTAATTGCTGCTCGTACGACGACTGAAAGCTTAGGAGACGCACGCGTCTATGCTGTCCAGACCTTCGCGATGAGCTCCGTGAGACCTGCAGCAGTCCGTCAGTAACGGTGACATAGACGAATACAGAATGCAGCCACGTTGGAGGGCATGCGGACAAAGGCACGGGAAGGAGGGAGCGGGGAAAGACCACGGTACTCACCGACGTCCTCGGTGTTGAACTTGTACACGCCGACCAGGACACCGACGGTCGTGGCGCGCAGGGTCCAGCTCGCGAGCGGACCGAGGATGGGGAATTTGCGCTTGTGGACGTAGTCGACGAGGATGGAGTCGAACTGAGGCGGGGTAAGTATGGTATAAGCGGTAAGAGAGGACGAGGAGGAGGTGACGGCATGATGAATGAAGGAAGGACAAGGTTGGATGGGGCACGAGCATAAAACGGAGGGAGGAGGAACTTGGGGACGCGGAGCAGGATACAAGCGCCAACCCATGCGAGCTCGATCCGAGCCCTCCCAACCAACACCAAAACGACACTCACCCCGATGTGCGAGTGCATGACCAGGCTAACACCGAGCAAGCCGTCGAGGACGGGGTGCGCGGTTGGGCTCATGACGAAGGCGGCGCCGGTGAGGGGGACAAGCGCGGCGGAGAGGAGGCGCTCAAAGGCCCAGTGGTACGAGCCGTGCGTCTTGGACGGCGGCGGGAAGGTCGTCGGGTCGTTCACGGTGCCCTTGTAGATGGCTGTGCGGCGTCAAAGACGGAATGCGCAGGGAAGAAGGGAGGTACGCACGGCCGCCGGGGACGTACTCGGTCGAGCTGCTCGTCGCCGTTCGCACTAGAGGCTATCTCGGTCAGCGGGAACAGGACGGGGAGGAGGACGCTGACCTTGGGCGAGGGCGGCGCGGCGGGCGGCGAGGCGGGGCAGCGACGAGCGCAGGATGAGCGAGGAGGACATCGTCGGCGGGAGCGAGGGAGAGTGTGAGCAGGACGGCGGGAGCGACGAGCTCGAGCCGGAGGGCGCCCAATCACGTGTGTCCCGTTTCAGTCCGGACATGTCACACGGCCACGTGCTTGCAACACGGGTCACACCGCGCCGACCGCGGTGGCGTTGGATTTCGAAAGCCACAGACATCGAACGTGAACCTCCGCCCACGATGACCTTGATCGAACATCTTCTTCCTCGATATGGCCAGGAGCGGTCTCGCTACTGTAGACGAAGATTGCAACGTAGCAGAGCTACGAGCAGCGGTGCAACGGTGTACTGCGCAGCCCTGTCTCAGGCCGCGTCTGGTACGTTCATTTCGTTCATGAAAAGCATACCAACGCACAAGAGCACTAGATTCCCGACCATATTCGAGATGAGCTTCCGGAACTTGATGAAGACGAGTATTCTATACAACTCGCTATCTTAACTCACGAGCCAGCCGAGTTTCCTCTGGTGTCGCAGGACAACCTCCGCTCGGTGCTCAGCGTCCCTTTCTCCGAGAAGCCGCTGCTGCTCGTCAGAACCCAACTCGTGCCCCCCCTGTCAATTACTATCTTCGACGCTGCGGCGGACGAGCTGATTGTCCAACTCCGCGCCCAACATCCGGTTACTACAGGCCTCCCTGAGCACATGCGACGCTATGCAATGTACCTGGTGAGTGAGATCCTGACGGAGAGTAGAGCCGTGCTCAGACTGGGCCAGGCGCCCCGGAGAATCTGGGTGACACCACCAGAGACGTTGAGGGAGGCTGTCCGACGACTTCACCTGGCTTCCCTTCAGAAAGTGTCCATGACCACACCGCTGGAGATCATACGTCGACCATGGGGTTTCATGCCGGAAGAGCTCCACTTCATCATTGCACCGGACGCTCACCACAATAACAGCAATATGCGCAGCGTCGAAACCCGCTGATGAAGACAGTCTGCGAGCGCTTTCGATTATCGAACGTCGTAAAACGTATTTCCTGAAGCGTCCAACGAAACCTCCATCGTCCGAGGCACAGCCACACCGATTTTACCAAACGCAAAAGAATGAGGACGTAGCGCTTTATTGCGGCCGCCCATACGAAGCTACCACACCCCCGACTCTTCTGGATGCGACTTTGTGCCAGCTGCGTCATGACATATCCCACATCGTCCCGTCCGCCAACGACATCCAATGCTTCAACGCTCTGCGCGCAGAAGCGGTGCAACTATACAAACTGGAACCTCAGCGGCGGACCAGCTTTTCTCGTGTCCTTCGCGAAGGAGGTACTCTACCGGATTGGCCTCTTCGTGGGCGTGCAAGCAAGCACGACAACGGCGGCGACCTCCGAGTGTCCCGTTTGGGCGCTGAATTCCTCTACTATATCCAGGCGGTCCAGCTCGAAGTCAGCCAGGGCACGACCGAGCCGTTTATCGAAGCAATCCACCGTCACATGGAGCACATCCGCATCATCAACGGTCGTGAACCAGGAGATATGGCGAAGACGAACTTCCCGGCAGTCATACTGCTGAACTTCGGTCAGTGCCGCTCAACTGCATTCGGACATATCGCTGAAGGTCAGCCAAGGCCCGTACCTCGCTGTCGCCGCCGCAGCGTTCACCGATAAGCCTGTCGCGGAACATCTCGCATGCGTGCCCTTGCACGTACACTCTACCAACGCCGACGAGCTCGCGCGGGGGCAGCGCGTCCTAGCCGCTCTCCGCGTTGCCCTCCACGACCTCAAAACCAACTACCCCGCGCCGGGTGTCCGCGGCCCGCCCGCCGACTGTCCCTTCCACGACTTTTACGAAGACGCCGACGGGACTCGGCATGCGCTCACATACGACGGCCCCGTCGAGGGCGCGCGCGCATGTTGCAGGCTCGGAGACGCGGCTGTACGTCAAGTTCAGCACGCGCTACTCGGCAGACGCGCATCGCGCCGCGCACCGCACCGGCTTTGCGCCCGCGCTGTATGCACTCAACAACGTCGGCGGCTGGCTGATGGCTGTCATGGAAGACAAGTCAGCCGCGTACACTTCATTGTGGGATCTGAAGCAGAACGGGGAGACGCCCGTGGACGATTGGGACGCGGCCTTCGAATGGGTCCAGCGGGCGGTGGAAGAGCAGCTCGCCCTCTTGTTCGAAGCGGGATACGTGCACGGCGATGTGCGCGACACGAATGTACTGGTGCGTGACGCCGACGGAGAGAGAGACGTTCTCCTTGTCGACTGGGACTGGGCGGGGGTGAACTTGGAGGCGCGTCATCCGCCGAATATGAGCCGGGAAGGAATTCCTCGCCCGGAAGATGCGTCGCCTGGCGGGCTGATCGCCCCCGAGCACGATATGTGGATGGTAGAACATTTGCTTGATTGGGACTTCCCATAACCTGTCTCGCGACCAGCAAGGCATCTCGAGTTGGGGACCTCCTTGTATGTATTTGGCTTTTTCGTATTGTATCTATTGACCAGCTACCAGATGCACCCATGGCTGCCGCCGGCTCTCGAGTCCATGGGGCAATAGGTAGCACAGGATTAATACTACTCACAGCGGGCAAGCACCGGTGTCCCACCACCGAACATTCGTCTTCCATGGTACGAGAACATTTTCCTAGGATGCTCCGTAGCGGAACATGAAGAATACAAGGACAATGTTAATTAAGTGTCCCCTTATTTTTGGGGACCATAGTAAATGTCCTGCAGACCTTTCTTTGTTCACTCAAGGACATTCTTCATGTCTAGGTCAGTCATTATCCAGAAAGGACCATTCTAGGAAAGTGTTTTCCCAACTGGGAGATGTTCCTGACATGCCTGCCGGTGGGACATCGGTCTCTGCCCGCAGTGACCTAGGTCTGTTGGCAATCCCCTGTACATGTTCTTCCTATGAATCAGCGAATTCGCGGACAACGAAAGCTCCGTTACTTGAGAAAGTCCGCGACACTGGCCGTTTGGATCTTTGGAGTCCCCGACATCGTGCCACAGCGCCGCCATATCATGGTTATGACGTTCCCAGGGAGTGGAGTAAGGATGCGCCGGACAGATACACGTCCATGCGCTGATCGAGTACATCACGCTGAATAACCGGTCGGAGGCGCTGGAATTGTGGACGAGGGGCCTGATATGCGTGATTCAGAAAGACACGACATGGCTGTCCGCAGCGCCAGTACGCCCCGCTGGCCTGGAGCTCGGTCAGCCTCGCGCAGTCCGACACCCGCCGCTCGGCCAGAAGATCACTGTCAGATCAGCCCCCTACGAACGTACTCGCCCGCCCGCGTCGGTGCCAGTCTCCCTCGCGTGCCCCTGCTTCCTCGCTGCCACTCAATCTCTCTCACCTGCGTCCATTTATCTTCCTCGCGTTTCTCTCCCCCTCTTTCCTTATCAGGGTATTCTTGGCCGCGCATTAGTACATTACAGCTGTCTTTTGTTTTGAATATGTAGAGGAATCAGCCAACCGCTCATCGCGCCGCCCTCGCGAGCCGCCACCCGTGCACCGTCGCGCGCACCTCCTCCTCGCCCGGGTCCTCGGGGAACATCGGCTGCAGCAGTCGTGAGTACACATCGTTACCCTTGAGCGGTGAACGGGCACGCACCGGGTACCTGCGCGTGAGGACCTCCGCGCACGCCCACCCGCGCGCGCGGGCCCTGGCGAAGAACGCGAGGTCGCGCGCGGCGTACTGCGGGCGGTGGTGCGTGTAGAATACGAGCACGCACGGGGGGTTGTCTGGGGAGGGGGAATCGGAGAGGGCGCGCTCGCAGGTGGTTAGGAGGGCGTCGTGCTAGCATAAATCATGGGTGAGAAGAGAGGCGGGGGAAGTGGGGGAGGGACAGGGACAGAGGGGAGCGCACCTGGGAGTGGTTGAAGACGAGATCGGAGAGGATGATGAGGTCGAAGCCGGCCCCGCCCGCGTGCGCGAGCAGCGGCTCGACGGGCTGGCCCCAGATGTATCCCTGCAGCACATGGTATCAGCACGCATCACCAGCACGGCTCCAGACAGCCCGCGCACCTGCACGACCACGCGGCCCGCGCTCTCCGGGATGTTCGTCTTCACGTTAGATTCCAAGTTCTCCAGCAGCTCCTTGTCGGGGTAGTCCGTCAACACCGCCTGCCTCAGCCGTCAGCGTCCTCGCTCAGAACGAGTACCATCCGGCTGACCTTGTGCGCGCCGTTGAGCGCGGCGACGAGCCCGGGCAGCCCGCCGCCCGCGCCGAGCTCGAGGACGCAGCGCCCGCGGTAGAGCGCCGGGTTTTGGTCCAGAAAGGCCGCGAAGGCGCGCGAGGCGTTCCACCTTGCAATTGGCTGGTGAGCGCGGTCGAGTCGAGTACGGGTGGAGGGGACGTACAGGTAGTGCCCCCAGAGGGGGTGCGAGCCGACGAGTCTGATGTGCACTTCGTGCCAGTCGTCGTCATCGATGTCCTCGTTCTCGCGGGTGTAGATTGCGGTTGTGGCGGGCGGGGTTGGCGGGCGCGGGGCCTCCTGCGCGATCGCGAGATAACGCGAATGCCACAAGACCAGGGAAGAGAGGCAAGTACAGCGTCAGGGATGGGACGGAAGAGCAGGTCGACGGGACTGACGGTGAAGACAGAGTCGAGCGAAAAGGCGGCGTCGTCGTCGTCGGACATTGCTGCGAGTGGCAGAGTCGGACGGGATGAAAATTCGGATGTGGTGGCGTGGGAAGCAGCTGGAACTGCGAGTCGACTCGGATTTTATTCACGCACACGACCGGTCCTCCTCGTACCACCTGTCTATTTCCGATGCACGTTTTTGTCTCAGCGAGAGGACGTGTCTCTCGCTGACTGTATTGGCATCTCCCGTTATAGCACTCTCCTTCCCTTTATGGAGCTGTGGCACCGTTGGGAGTGACGTACCTGTGGATATCCTGCAGCGGTGCTATATAACGAGCAGCTCTGTAGGTCGTTTACTACGCTATTTGCATTCACTTCTTTGCATTTGGAGGTTTAATCCAATCGCTACATATCGCGTCGCAATACCATCATGTCGGGAGTAGGAGACAAGATCAAGTGCGTAAGGTAATACTTCGCCGCTTGATGAGTTTGGCTTACAAGCACGCGACGAATAGCGGTGCGATCCAGATGGTCCAAGGTACGCCTCTCGCCTCCCAGCTCTCACCTTCCTTCTTGACCTGATCTGCTTCAGGTATCGGCGACCAGATCCGCGGCTCGCTCATGGAGACGCTCGACACCTCCCTCTCCTCCATCTCCAACTCCTCCAATGACCCCAACGCCAGCCAAACACAGACGCACTCATCAAGCCGCAACGCGGAGCTGTGGAACAAGGGCAAGGAGGAGTACCGCCAGGGCCGCGCAAAGGTCGCCGGCGTGCCCGCGGCGGTCGGGGATGGGGTACAGCCTGAGAAGGAAGGGGCGTCGGTGGGAGGGGAGGGGAGTGAGAGCGAGCGGCCACCCATCAACCCGCACGAGGCGGGGCAGGTGGGCCATGGCGACCGGAGCGTCGGGGTTGTACCAGGCGGCGGGAGGGTCTTGCACCCGGACGCGTGAGGATAATAAAGAGGAAGAATGTATGCTGCACGGGTGATCGCGCCTTCCAGTACTGGTGTATCGCGTGGATCGCGTTTCACGCTATGCATTTGATACATTCCAGCGCCCCTTACGCGTACCCGCTCTGAACTTCCCGCCTTGAGAGTACGTATCATGGCTACGCTGGTCTTCACAGACTAGTATGACTATTAAACTCTTTGCCATCTATCGGAAGCTGCTCTCGGGACCGCAGCTCCAGAGTCTCCGAGAGACCAATCAGCGTGTCTCAGACTGCTATCATGGTGACACTCACGGTGATGCGTGCCCATGGTGGACAAACTCGGTTGCATTTCCTTCCACCCAGTCAAGGGTCTGGCTCGCTGTTATCAGAAGCTATGGCTGTGCGCATTCATTCATACCGCGAAGACACCTGGGTCGGTCCATGAGGCCATTGCATTCCTGATCTTCCTCGTCTTGTGCGCGATCTCTCCCCTTCTGAAGCCCACTGAGCGTATGGGGGTATGGGTTCTGCCAACTGCAACTAACTAGATGACAGAGGGCGCGAACCCCACTGAGGGTGTTTGTATGTCTGAACGCGACGAGCCGGCGTCCATGTCCATTGAATATCTCATCAGCGACGGATACGGCGCCGCTACTGCGGGGACGGCGTCGCGGCGTGCGACGGGTTCCGCGGGAACTGCATCATGGACGGGGGCAGCGACGGGGGAGGGGAGGGTGTTTTACTGTTGTTGAGTGAGGAGGTGCGTGCGGGAACGCGATGGGGATCTGTAGGGTATTGACCGCCATGGCCGTTGCACACGCGGCAGGCGTGGCGGTGTATTCGGGTTTGGAGTGCTGGATTTGGGGGTGTTTGCCGCGCGGTCGTGGTGTACACGCCGCGAGAGCTGCCTGTAAAGAAGGGACGATCGTTGGAAATGAAACGGGGCGATACCCTGTTTCCGCAAGAGCAGTTCCCGATACTCCCTCCTATAGTCAGCTGCAGGCTGGGATCTGAGATGCGGAACTGCTTGCAAAGAGAAAGGCGGTGAGATCTCAGCAAGGCGAAGAAGTATCTGGGGAGAAAACAGTATCAATATGACAAACTGCGGGACGGGCCGCCCTGAGTGCCTTCGTTGTGTTACGCTAGAAACATCAGTTTAGCTTGAATGCATAAGCACGGCCATAGCTTCTGATAACGGCGAGCAGACGCACGTAAAAGCTTGATGACCACCATGGGGACGGGTCGCCGCTGGTTTCACCAAGACGAGGGTATTTGCAGGTGACAAAGTAGTTGGTGACTACCGGAGACTCTGGAGTCGCTGACCCGAGAGAGATTTCCGTTGCAGTCGGGTGCACGTGAGCGGTCGAAATCGGGGGGATGAACACGGCCATAACTTTATGAAGTCCAGACGTGGGAGGGCACCAACTTGAAGAGAGTGCGGTACGTCAGGGACGCCAGAGTCAGATCGCTATCGTTCCTTGTTGTTAGCATCGATAGACGAAGGAGGCGAGAACTGCAAGGAATCAAGGCTGCTCATCACAGTGGGGCGCGCCATCTACAGTACATTCTGCAGACCGCATGCACAAGAACACATTTAAACAATAAATGCGACCTTATGCATGCCATCTGCAGGATAAGGAGAGGATGGTGGTACCGAGGTACATGTCCGCTGTGCGATTCTGGTCCAAGGCTGGTCATTTGTAGCGGTTATACAGTAGAGCAGAGGATATTGTACATGTAGACAGAAGGTACACTCGTCCAGGAGTCAAGACAGACGGTGCTTGATGATGTTGCCCAGCACAGTCGGACACGGGCGGAATATGCAAAGTCGTCTCCGTCACTCGGACCACCTGGGTACATCCGGAGACTTCCGAGACCTCCTGCAACATCGACATGCATATTCTGAACTGGAGGCGAACTTCCAACACGGTAGGATAGTCTATCCACATGCATACAACTACAATCATTCGAACGTCATACATCCCTGTAATAGAAATATACGGGACACTGGCGTATGATTGCTAGTCTAAGACGCCCGGGGGCGTCCGCCGCCGAGTCACTGCGATCGCCGACGCTGCCGCTCAGTCCAGATGCTCTCCAGAACGTCCCGAGTGGCACGGTCTCGAATGAGGACACGAATGTCTAGAATTGAGGCCATTATACTATTCGTCCACGGTAGACGATATATATATGCCCCACGATCCGAATGGTCCAAGACACGCTAGCGCTAGCTAGACGCTCTACCAAACCTACACATTCAGCATATCATACAGAATGATCAGCGTCGCTACATTGGCGGGAAGAACAGGAGGAACTGTAGGTTCCTGTTGGGCACTCAGAACCGCAACATTAGCAGGGAGAATAGGACGAACCGTGGGTCGTTTTGGCCGCTCCATGTCAATCGTTCATGACCCTGCTGCAGAGCACACGCGCGTACGGCACGGCCTACAACACCATGAAGGGCCTTGTTTTCCGAGGCAAGGGCGACTTCGGCGTCGAAGAGCGCCCCAAGCCGCAAGTGGTCCGCCCGGGCGACGCCGTCGTCAAGCTCGCAAAGTCCACTATCTGCGGTACGTCGCACATTCATAGCCGTGCACGCGCCCATGGCCACTGACGAGACACGAACACGCAGGCACGGACCTGCACATCTTGAAGGGCGACGTGCCGACCGTCGCGCCGGGGCGCATCCTCGGGCACGAGGGCCTCGGCACCGTCGAGTCCGTCGGGCCCGGCGTCGCCGCGTTCAGGCCCGGCGACCGCGTCATCATCTCGTGCATCACCGCCTGCGCGACGTGCGCCGCCTGCCAGAAGGGGATGCCCTCGCACTGCGCGACGGGCGGGTGGGTCCTCGGCAACACGATCGACGGGACGCAGGCGGAGTACGTGCGCATCCCGCACGCGGACACGAGCCTGCACCGCGCGCCCGCGGGCGTGAGCGAGGACGGGCTGGTGATGATCAGCGATATACTCCCGACGGCGATGGAGTGCGGGACGCTGAACGGGAAGGTGCGGCCGGGCGCGACGGTGGGCGTCGTCGGCGCGGGCCCGGTCGGGCTCGCGGCGCTGCTGACGGCGCAGCTGTACTCGCCGATGAAGATTATCATGATTGACGTCGACGAAAACCGGCTGAAGGTGGCAGAGTCGCTGGGCGCGACGCATACAGTCGTGTCGGGGCCGGACGCGGTGAAGAGGGTGATGGACATCACGGAGGGCGCGGGTGTGGACACGGCGATCGAGGCGGTGGGCGTGCCGGCGACGTTCGATCTGTCGCAGGAGATTATCGCGGTCGGGGGCAACATCGCGAACGTCGGTGTCCATGGAGGAAAGGTCGACTTGCACCTCGAAAAGCTGTGGGACCGGAATATCTGTGAGCGTGTTCTGTTCCGTCAGCGCCAGCCTGCGATGCTCATCGCGTCCCTCTCTGCGTAGCCATAACCACCCGACTCGTCGACGCAGTCACGTCCCCCACGCTCATCAAGCTCGTCGAGGCGGGCAAGATCAATCCCACTAAACTGACGACTCACAACTTCAAGTTTTCGGACATCGAGCAAGCATATTCATCCTTCGCCGCCGCTGCAGCGAACAAGGCACTGAAAGTCATCATCGACTTTGAATGAGCAAGGAGATCAAGGTTCGAGTGTATCGTCATTGCCAGAGATAAATTTGTATAATTGTCTGTACGAGTACCACTGTGTTAGTTGTAGCATATAGCATGTACTGACATCTCAACTGGATGGAGAGACTCTCAAGTTTATATTTGATAGCATATTTTTCTGCACGATATCCTGCACAGTGGCGCGCCTCACTGTGATGATATACTGTACTCTCTTCAAGTCGGTGCCCTCGCACGGTCCGACTTCATAAAGCTATCCCCGTGTTCGTCCCCGAAATCGACCGCTCACGACTGATGCGCAAGTCCCTCTCAGGACCGCAATTCCAGCGGCGTCTCGTGGTTATCTAGCCTGTACGTGAATCTGCTCGCTGCTATCAGATTTTATTGCCATGCCTATTCAGTCAAACTTGTACCGCAATACATACTGCATTATCCAGCGTAATACACCAAAGGCGCTGAGGTTCGGCCCGTCCCGCAGCTCGCTACATTGATACTGTTTTTGTTTCAGACATTTCACCGCCCTGTTCTCCCAAGTCTATACGCTCTCATCCTGCAGATAACTGCAGCACGGAGCGGCAGGAATTGCCCTTGCGACGACACGGTATCGATCCATGTCCATACACCATTTTTTCCAACGATTATCCTTTGTTTCAAGTCAACTCTCATGGCATATACCGACTCCTGCGCATCGTCCCTCAACAGCCGTTCACATTAGACTGAACACAAAAGTCCCTGTACACAATACAAACGCGCCCCAAATAACCTGAAACGAAACATCGAATACCCGCCTACAACGCCACACACGACGTCAGCGCCCTCACGTCCCGCCTCACATCCCCCGCACTCACCTCCCCCCTCACTCGACGACTGTGAAGCACCCCCCGTCGCTGCCCGCGTCCATGATACAGTTCCCGCTGAATCCGTCGCACGCCGCGCACGCGAGCGCGACGCCGTTCCCGCAGTAGTTGACGCACGTCGCGCCCGCGCAGAGGCCGGGGCACCCGCTGGGGGACTCGCACAGGCAGGTGTTCTCGCGCTTGAAGGGGCCGGGCGTGCCGAGCGCGAGGGGGAGGGGGAGGAGCGCGAGGGCGAAGAGGGCGGGGGGGAGGTGCATGGTGAGGAAATGCATGGTGAGTTGTGAGTTTGTTGGCGAGGGGTGCGTTGATGGATAGGATTGGAGGGATTTTATACAGCGCGAGGGGCGAGGATTATACGGTGAGCAGTGCCCGCTATCCACCTTCTCCGTGCATAGAGCGATTGTATTGACACCCAGATGGGCGGGCTCCGGCGCTCGTCTAGTCCCCGTGTGTCGGTGCCGTATCCGCCGCTGACGGAATACTTGATGGGCAAGGGACGCCAGCGCATCGTGTTCAGCTACCCAGTTGCCGTCAGTGGGTTTCCCGCTACTCCTTTCTATGCTTAGTTGCAGTCGGCGTCGTGACTCAAGGTGGGACGCATATACTCTGAGCGAGCTTCACATGATCTTCCTCATCTTGAAGTGGTTCTGTGCGCGATATCTTTCCTTTTGAATAATGCAATGAACTAATGGACTGACCCCGGTGTCTTCGCTGCATCATCGCAGTATGAATGAATGAATCGGCACAGCCATAGCTTCCGATAAAAATGCGCAGGACCCGCATGCACAGGCTAGAATCGGAGGAAGGAAATGCAACCATGTTTAACCGCCATGGGTCCGCATTACTGCAAGTTTGCCTATGGCGGGCTTACAGACATGCTAGTTGGACCCCATCGGAGATCCCGCAGTTGCAGGCCCGAGAGCATCTTACCATCGGGTGCGTGCGAGCGGTTTAACGATTGTCCTAGTCTGCGAGGGGCCAGTGTAGCCATGAGAGTCCCAAGACGGGAAGCTTAGAGGGGGGGGCTCACGGTGTACCTCAGGGGCCCTGGAATAGATCGATAGCGTGAAACGCGAGCCAACGGAATGTACTCGTTATACCGAAGGTGCAATTGATCTTACAACACGCTCATCTTCAAGTCCTCACACGTCCGGGTGCAAAACCCTCCAGCCGCCCGGTACAGCCCCGACGCTCCGGTGCCATGGCCCACCTGCCCGACCTCGTGCGGGTTGATAGACGGCCTCTCGCTCCCTCTCACCTCCGCTCCCTCTTTCTCAGGCTGTATTCCATCCCCGACCGTCGCGGGCACGCCAGCAACCTTCGCGGGGCGCTGGCGGTACTCCTCCTTGCCCTTTTTGCATAGGTCCGCGTTTGGACTCCGCCTCGGGGAGTGCGTGGGGGAGGCGCTGGGGTCGTTGGAGATGGATGAGAGGGAGGAGTCGAGGGTCTCCATGAGCGAGCCGCTGATCTGGTCGCCGATGCCTGGTAATCGATTCGACACAAGGGTAAGGGCAGGAACGGACAGGAGATCTACAGGGGAGGGTAGAAGGGTGTACCTTGGACCATTGGGATGACACCGCTTAGTTCGGTGCGTGCTCGTCAGATGTACGCATTCCAGCGCTGGATATTGTTTGTTATACGCACTTGATCTTGTCTGCTACTCGCGGCATGACGATATGATATTGCGATGCAAAGGGTGTCGTGAATGCGAATAGCGCGGTGGACCCTGAGACTACAAGAACTCGGCGGGGCTGCTCGTTATATGGATGATCGTATAGATCTGGATCGACTCGCAGGGAGTCTGTTTTCCGCGCGACTGGACCATCGAACTTTCAACCCGTCCGAAACTGTACGAGCCTGTCGTAAACAAACATAGAGTTTAACGCAAATAAACCGTTCAAAACAATAAACCAAAAGGTTGGAACCCCATGTCCGACGACGACGGCGCCTTGTCGCTCGACTCTGTCTTCAGTCCCCATCGACCTCTACATAACCCACGCATTCGCCTGACGCTGTCCCTGCCTTTTTTCCAACCTAATTCTCTGATCGTGCCGGATCCCGCACCTCGTACTCGCAAACGCGCAAGGTCAGCCCGATGGCACTCGTTTCCAACCGAGAGATACTGACCTCGACACTCGATAGACGGTGTTGACGGACTACCCCGACAAGGAGCTGCTGGAGAACTTGGAATTTAACGTGAGGGCCAACATATCAGTGACTTACATATGTGCGACGGTTGCGACCGCACCGATCAATATTACAATAGACAGTAAGTAGAATTCGCCGATCAAAAGTAAAAACATGTACAGGGGATTGCCAACTTGAACAGCTCTAGAATAATCCTGTATTACCCTGTGCCCCGTGCCGCTGCGCATAGACACTGCCAGCCAGGGGTGCATCTTGTGACAGCACTGGGTAGCCAATACGTACGATACAAATAGGGTCCCTAACCGCGAGATACCTTGCTGGTGGCAAGACAGGCTATGGGAAGTCCCAATCCAGCAAATGCTCTACCATCCACATATCGTGCTCGGGGGCAACTTCACTCGAGCAAATGGTCCACCATCCAGAGATCGTGCTCAGGCGTGATCCGCTCGCCCGGTTCCGCATCCTCGGGACGATCGATTCCCTCGCGGCTCATCCGGGGTGGATACCGTGCCTCCGCGCCCCGGCCCGCCCAGTCCCAGTCGACAAGCAGGACATCCTTTTCTCCGGATCCGTCGGCGCCGCACACCAACACGTTCACGTCGCGCACGTCGCCGTGCACGTATCCAGCTTCGTGTAGCAGCGCGAGTTTGTGTTCCACCGCTTTGCGCACCCACCCAAAGACCTTGCCCCACTTGTGCTGGGGTACACCCACGTTCTCCTTCAGATACCAAAGCGGGGCGTACGACTCGGACATGTCTTCCATGACGACCATCATCCACTCGCCGACTGTGTTAACCGCGTACAACGCAGGTGCGACGCCGAGACGGTGCGCGGCGCAGTGCGCCTCCGCCGAGTAGCGCGTGGTGAACTTGACGCATAGCCACTTCCCCGAGCTCGTGAGGTGAGCGAGGCGCATGCGCGTGTCGCTAGGGGCCTGGTCGAAGGTGATGGAGTGCCGGTCTCCGGCGTCGTCTGTGTAGAAGTCGGGGAGCGGATAGTCGGCAGGCGGCCCGCTGGCGAGCGCCGCGGCCTTCTCTGCTTCGTTGAGTCTGGCAAAGAATGCCATGCGCCTGGCGAAGAGATCGCCTTCGTCGGCGGTTTTCGAGCCTGTGTGTTCGGTAAGTCGTTTGCTGAGGTCAGAGGTAAATTAACACTTTCCAGCAAGAGGAGCCGCTATGAAGTACAGCTCGTCAAGCATAAACCCCCGCGGCGGAGCCATGGAGTGCAGAGGGGCAGTCATGGATGGCTTCTCTAGAGAAGACATGTTCAGTCGGCGGATAGTTTGTTTCACTCTCTTCAATGAATCCAGCCATATCCCCCGTTGACACTGAGGAAAAGTGAGCACGTAGAAATCTACGCAGCTGTCAGGATTACGCGGACCTTGTATATCACACGCTCTGGCGGAAAACGTGCAGAGACAGCTTCAGCAAGGGAAGCCTCGGGGCGAGCATTCACCACGAGCAACTCCTCGGCTGCATCGTCCCAGACTGTGATACGCACGCTGCTCGGGTCTTCCGTTCTGACGAGCAGATGATACGTTTGTTGGTCGACGTCGCTAAGCAGCGAACGCAGGTTCTCGTCCGAGAGTGGAGGATATTCGGCGGGATCGCGAGTCAGGAGAGCGCGTCGTACAGAAAACTTGAATATGTCGCGGGTGTCTGGGATTTCAGTCTGGATATGGCGCGGAATCTGAAGCACGTAGACGTTGTACGGTCCACATTCACTCCGAGTTAACGAGATTGACATACGAGACGTAGTTCTTGACAGCGACTGGTTGTACGCTGCTCCACTTCCTTGTAGATGTCCGAAACGGTACATTCATTCTCTACAGTTATATGACTGCTCGTGAGTAAGTCCAAGAAGAAGAGTCTCAACACAACCAAGGTCATCGCGTAAAATAGGGGCTCTTCAGTCGCGTCGTGCGCCACATTTTTACTCGCCCGCCTGACTGAGTCGACTCACCTTGAACACGCGGGAGGCTTGCAGCTTTCTGTGAGTCTCTGTACGTACTTGCTTGTGTCTCCAAACCGCAGGGACTATGCTTCCCCAACAACTCTCCGTCCTATGCGTATATGGCTGGAATGATGTATTTGCCAGTGCAAGGTCAGCAGATCGGCCCCATGTCAATGTCCAACCTGCGCCAACTGGGCGAACCCTCGTCGGCGAAGAATCTCCTTAGTGTTTGGGTCTAGCAGTCGTCCTGCCATTCGGCTGTACATACGCTCATGTGCTCAGCCATGGCGGTGCTCCTTGGTGCGAGGGTTAGGGCGTCTAATGCATGATGCCTTTGAGGCTGTGACTGCTCTTATTTCTCCAAGACCTGTCTTCATTCTCGATTTCCGAGTGTATCAGCAGCTTTCTCTACCGCGAGCGTCATTCAAGTTCCACTAGTTGGCTGAAGCGGGCTGGTGTCGGTTGGGTGTCGGCGCCTGAAGAACCCGTTGGGTGCCGTTCACTGAGAAATGCTCGCCAGGCTGGTCGCCTTGGCAAGCTCATGATCTTGGCGGCTGCGAGCAGCAACACAACGAGGACATCGCATGGATGTAAGGAGCATCGAGACTGCTTGTGCAGGGTCGGCGTCGGCACGAGCGCGTCCAGGTATGGTGCGGTGGCGCGCTGGGCCTGTCAGGTGCGTACCGACTACCGGGGTCGTCGTACAAAGTGCGGGGTCTGGTGCCCGCCTACGTATGTACGGCGATTGGCCGTTCGCATATGTGGGTGGGCATCCATGCCCGTTCTTCTTCCTCCAAAGCTATAAAACCTCGTCCCCAATCCCCACTCACACCCCCAACGAACTCATACACTACCAATCAATACCCTAACGACCAAGTCAACTCACGACATGCACTTCCGCACCCTTCTCCCCGCGCTCCTCCTCGCTGCCCTCTCCCCCGCGCTCGCCAACCCCTTCGTCACACGCCAGGACACCTGCGAGTGCCAGTCGCCCACCGGGTGCCCGGGCTACTGCCAGGACACCGAGGGCATCGGCGCAGCATGCTTCAATAACTGCGGGAATGGCATCGCAATTGCGTGCGGTGCGTGCCAGGGAAAGACAGGCGCATGCTTTGTGGACGCTACCGGAGACGAGTGCTGGTTGATGTACCCGTGAGGTCGAGGGGTTAGGTGCGTCTGCGTCCCGGTTGTCGCTGCCTGGGAGTGGTTAAATTGATTGGTTTGATTAGCGCGGAGATTTCACGAAAAGGGAAATGAACCTGATGAGGCATTCTCGGGCGTGCAGGGTCTCGGTTTTATCGTTGTTGGGGCTATCGGCGAACGAGCGTATGTGCAGCGTGAGATCCCGCGATAATGCATCATGGTCTACTCTTCCAATTAAACCGTCGTCTAATCCTTTCTGGAGCGCGAACTGCTGTCGCGACCCTCCTGCCCATCCTTGCGTCGTCTGTGTCAACTAGCCTCTTAATGTGTCGAGCGAATCTTCTCGAGTGTGGGCAACATCCCGTGTAGGTCAGTCTCTTGCTGCTTGCTGCTGCACACATATCGAAATTGACGGCTCTGCTCCAATTGAGACTCGTGGATCTCGAGGGGCTCAGCTGGAGCGCTATCACGATATTCTCCGCTATTGACCTCAGCCATACAGGCCGTTTATAGAGCGCCTCCTGCCTTGTGGTACCGCCTACAAATAAGTTCCATCGGCACTAACGAGGCTGGTGCTCAGTGCCAGTATCCGGACACCTGACACGGGAACAGTACTTGCATTTACATATCTTGACAGATTTTCAGAAGTGACAGCCGGTGAGATAACATCAAGTGCGTACGTACCCTTTCCCCGCAAGATCCACCACGCCCTCTAGGCCCGCCAGCGGCGCCGGACATACGGTTTGGGCTTCCCCCTCACTCGAATCCTTACCATACTTTCTGCTCCGTGAAAGCATCGGCGACCACACCATCGGCCCGCCCTTGGACATCTCCGTACCTGCCTCTCGTCTCTTCACGACGCGCAGACCCGGAGCCCGGTGTTTAGGAGAGACGTGAGGAGGAAAGCGAGACCTGGAGCCGAGCGAGCAGGGACAGGGCTGGAAGCGTGGAGGATGCGTCAGGACACATTAGAGGATGTTTGAGTCGAGCAGCGAGCTGTCAGACTGTCCAAGTCTGAAGACACACAGAGGAGCGGGAGGAAGGACAGCGCTAGCGCTCTAAGAGGGAGCGTCGGTAATACGTGTTTGGTGAGGAGTGGACGATGTGCTTTTTTAGGCTCGTCAGTTTGGAGAGGTCGTCCACGTTGGGGTGGAAGCCATTGGAAACACGTCTAATTGTGGTCTGTAAAACACAGTAGTTTGAGCGAGTACTTCGGTGTAGAGGATGATCCGGTAGCGTCGATCAAAATCTGCGTCGGGGGGTAGGAGTTCTGGTGATCAAAGATAGCGAAAGCCCATAGCTATAGGCGCCTTCGGGAAGTTGCTGGCAATATTATGGTTAAATTAGAAAGGCTGAAAAACGTACACTCCTGTGCGGGCTTCAAAGCGACCGGGGGTCTCGAACGGCAGATGGTGCGCAAAATATGAAGAACATCACGAGTGGAAACATTGAGCCGTCCCCCTTCGGACCCCCTCCATCCGTCGCAGCCATCGCTACTGAAGACTTGCTGCAAAAACCGCGGTTCCAAGATCAGATAGGAAGGAAGGAGCCAGAAACTGGAGCGCCGCATAGTCTATATGTTAGGTTGAGCCTCGGGGACATATTTGCCTCACTAGACCGATCATGGAGCTTTCTAAGTGGCGAGGGGCGCGCCCCTCTGCTTTCTCTGGGGCCAGGGAATCTGGATATTGCTTTGGTAGCCCTCAAAGGGCACTATTCAGATAAATCTGTTCGAGTGAAAGGTAGTGAATCTTTTCAAAGAATACTGAGTGCAATGACTCAGGCTGGTATGAAGCCGCACCGAGGGACAAGTCTTCGGCGTACTACGAAGAGAGGACTGTAAGGCCGTACTTAGCAGTCAACTTCCTGTTTGGGTCCGCGCGGCAAGATGCGAGTCACGGTACTGCGGCAAGTGCCGGATGCTAATGGATCTCAACATATAGTTTGCTTGATAAGCATTGCTGCCGTAGTCCAGCGGTCCAGCGGCTATCTTGTGGTAGCGCTTTAACGACGTTTGAGTGTCCGACTCTCGCTGGAGCATATAATAAATTTTCATCTTTATATTCTTTATTTCCGTACCGTCCTCGTATTCAACATTGCACGGCGAGGGGGCGGTCACTGCGGGCAGAGACCGATGTCCCGCCGGCGGGCATGCCAGGAACATCTCCCTGATGGGAGAACACTTTCCTGGAATGGTCCTTGCTGGACCATTAGCTGGACATGAAGAATGTCCTTTGAGTGAACAAAGAAAGGTCTGTGGGACATTTACTATGGTCCCTAAAAATCAGGGGACACTTAATCAACATTGTCCTTTCATTCTTATGTCTGTATCATGTTCCGCTACGGAGCATCCTAGGAAAGTGTTCTCCCGCCCTTGCCGTGAAAGATGAATGACCGGTGGCGGGACACCAGTCCTTGCCCGCTGTGGGTTAAGGTTTGGGTTAGGTTTTGGGTTAGGCCAGGTTTAGGGGGGTCCAGGGGGGGGGCACCCCCCCGGTTGGTTAGGGTGTGGGTTAGGGTGCGGGTTACAGAACATCTTCAAGGGGGGGGGGTTCCGGGGGGGAACACCCCGGTTGGTTAGGGTTTGGGTTATACGGGATGTATACTGTAGTAATTTCCATTCAATTTACTATATCTACCAAGCACTTGTACACTGTGGAAGCCATCACCAGCATCGCTGAGTCGCTGATGACAAGTTTCTCGCGCCTACCCAATAAGGGCCTGTTCGGTTGCGCGGGTAGGGTAGGGTAGGGTAGGGTTAAAGTGCACGGATTAGGAAATTTGTGGCGTTTCGGATACAACCGAGGAAATTTCCCGTTCGCAGGTCTCGCAGAACGTGTTCGGTGGACTCAAGTCTAGCCCCAGGTCTGTCACCAGAGTGACCGCACCTGTATGGGCGTCTGTGCACGATGCCGGTAAGCCGAGCTTGACCGGTCGGTTTTAGAGTATTTGGCCAATCAGCAGAGCTGGCCGTTGCCGAAGAACCATTGCGCTGCTCAAATGAGGAATAGACGCACGTGGGTTTGAGCTCCAGACTTGAAGAAGCAGGATCCATCCATAAATAGCCCATGTCACACTCTGTGACTCAGGGTGAGAATAGACGCCACTGGGACCGCTGGGAAACTGAGGACCAAGCTAACCCTACACGGCCTGCCCAGAATCTGGTGAAAAAATCCAAGGGGCGTTCGTGCAAATGTCGGTAGTATAATTATCAGTACTTTTGCGTAACAGTTGCACTCATTTTGCGCGTGTGCCATTTGTGCAACGGTTGCAATACAGGTTGCAAAGGATTTGCGTCGTGGATTCCTTTGCGCAATATTCTGACTTAGACTTATCGGCACGGGGGCGTGCCGCTGGTCTCGTGACACGTCGCGTCGCTGCTTCATCATGCCGATGTGCCGGAGTTCAATCTCCGCTCGTAGCGGTTGGAGTTGGACTTCAACAAATTTCTCTCTCATCCTCTCTTGCCCTTCAACCACCACCATCTCTTGTCCGTGCCTGTGCTCCCCTCAGTTCCGCCCAGCATCTTGCAGCTGTTGTCTCTACTTGACATGGTACGTGTACCATATTTATAGCTCTGTTTCGCTGCTGTCCCGTTGCTGCACGGTAGGTCATTGAGCTTGACTGGACTCAATGGCCGGGTCTAGAGTCCATATCTTCTTCAATCCTGATGCTCGATTAGCACGAGGTAAGTGCGCTACTCTTCCAGTCTCTCTGAACATACTGATGATGCAGAAGTTGTACAGGCCGACAAGTGTGCGGCATATCGCCGTATGTTCGCACTCGCATTTCCGTGTTTCTGTAACAGCAGATGCACCACAGGCAGTGCGTATATTGGGTCTTGTGATGTACAAGACATCATTAGATGCTCAGACATGTATGTAGTAGATATGTATAATGATTATATTGTTTTCCATGCATCCATATAAGCTGCGCCGTCGAGCAACGGGGTGGGAAAGGGGATCAATCTAGGCATATGGCGTGATTGATGTTATCAGTCCCGTGCAGGTCATGTGACTTTATTTGTGCAACATTTGCGCTATCCCGCGGCAAGAAACTCATGCAAATATTCGGTCTGATTCATTCGCGAGGGCGATTTTCTTGCTCCTGTTTGGCAATCTCAATGCAAACGTTTGATTCCGGATTTTGACGCAACATTTGTACAAATACTGCCGGGCTGTGTACCCTACCCTACCCTACCCGCGCAACCGAACAGGCCCTAAGGAAATTGACTGCTACGGCTTTACATCCCGAAGAGAGCGGGTCGTTTGGAGCCAAGGTCTCGAGAAGATTGATGACCACGAGTGAGCGAGTCCCGTACTATGGAAAGCTTCTGTTACCAATGCAGAGTATTCATCCTAGGACATTAGGAAGGTAAGTCACATTTATATTCAACGGGCAACTTGGATTGCAAGCAGCGGGTACGATAGGTTTGGACACGAGTTTCTGTATTCCATGGCTCAGACGCCTCGACTAGAGTATTTATTAGTTAAGGTCGACCGATACAGACTATCTGGGTCCGCTACCGCCACGGAGAGTTCAGGTACATAGTCGGTATGTTGCTCGCTTAGCTTTCCAGCATCGTAACCGTTCAAAACCACCCTGCTACATAGCGTTTAGATGAGCATCCAATGCGAAGTCCGTGTCGTAGGTTTCGCTAGCAAAGCTTCGGTGATAATCTCGACAAACGAGGGGCGGCAACTGCCGATAGCATTTCGCTGCGGTAACCCTCGCATCGACCTCGCCTCCGCTGTAGCCTCCGTACGGTATACTGGTTCCTATAACTCCGCAGAGGCCACGGGCTGGATGAAATGCGCAGAGACCCCAGGTTTCCGAAGAAAGGAATAGCAACCGTTTTCCTCGAATAACTCCCCTTGACGCCCGCGAAGCTGGGACGAGACGAATACGCAAAGGTGTCCA